TTTACAAGGTAGCCTATTGCTGTTTAATATAATATATGACCATGGTTATTCCTGAAGTTCGATTGTATCTTGCAATGCATGTGGTCGTGAACTTCAGTTAGTAATGAATAGAAGACAGTGCGGTGTTTGGCTGTTTTCTTCTGCCCTTTCCCGAGATTTTGACCTTCTTCGCCCTTCCCGCTCACCAATGGCTGACAACGGCTGGTTGCCACAGATACAGGATTTTAACTTGATCATGTTGATCTTGACTCCCCTCAGTTCTCCCTGCCTCTATCATTACTAGTGAGTCATAAGTGACGGGCTGTATAGTCTTTTTTTTGATATTCCAGTAAGGCCACTGGGAAATGCATTATTCCCCGCTGCGAATTGTTGGTTGGTTGTCATTGATGACAAGTAACATAGGGATCTCAACCAGTACCCCTGAGGACTGGCACTCCATAGAAGAGAACACAAGAAGTTTATTAGTCGTCACCATAAAAGTGTCAACGCAGCTACCCATACCAGTCATGTCGATGGGCCGCAGTGCTGGCACCCGATGTCAGACAAAAGTGTATGGCGCTAAACAGGTATACAAAAAAACCAAAAAAACACAACAAACGCAAATCCAAAAAAAAAAACTACACAATACACAAACAAACATTCACAAAAACATCCAAACAAACCACGAAAAAAAAATGCGGGTAATCAGAACCAAATGGTACAAAAGATTTATTAATGGTTGAAAGGACAAAAGTAGGACATAAAAGGTTTGATCAACACTGGCTGACTGACACAGAGAGGCTGGTGTGTTTTTGTGTTGTGTCGGGTTGTAAAGTTGTGTGTGTGTGTGTGTGTTGTGTGTGTTGTTGTGTGCGTGTATTTGTGTGTTGTCAGTAGATGATATGCCTCAGCGACGGATGAGAGGGATGAGAGCCACTCTGTTGCCGAGGCGACGGACAAGGGTGTAAACACGCTACCCTGACTCATTCTCCAACAATAAGAGCCCTCTCCTCTCTCTCTTCCCTCTCTCTCTTTTCCTCTCTCTCTCTTCCTCTCTTTCTCTTTCTCTCTCTCTCTCAAACACACACACACACACACACACACACACACACACACACACACACACTCTGATTCACACAATAGAGTTCAATCTGAGGGAGACAAGAGGATCCGGAGATGAGAGCCACTCCACTCCGCTTAGTTATACATCTGAATAGGTCTGCAGAATAAATGCAACCCTTTCTGTCATATACGCGCTCATTTAAAAACACACAATCAGACAAACACAGCTAGCACGTAATGAACTGGGAATCAATGTGTAGTTTTGTTCAATTTTCATCTGTGCACATTATTAGTAAAGCAAAGAAGACAAAAAACATGGAAGTGTGATTACTTACCAAGACATTTTAATGGTCACGTGAACATAAAAAAAACGTTATTTTGTCTGATGTATGTCTGCATGTTAAATGTTCACACAAGGTTTCTTATAATCTAAGGTCCCCGAAAAAACTATGACCCACATTGGTTATTAGGGTTAAAGTAACAGCTAAAGCACACACTGTATTTATTTTATCTAAACCGTGTTTTTTGGACTTTCTTTGCGATCACACACTTTCAGTATTTTGTTAGATTTTCAGATGACAAACATGGCAAACGCATAATATAAAAGTAAATGTCAGAAAGTCAGAATCCAGCTGTAAAAGATCACAAAGGGAAGACATGTCAAATATCTTTAAAGAAATTGAGCCTAATTTAACAGGGGGATCATGACTCGCCGGCTGAGCTCCACTCGTTCCCACACCGAGGACTCCATCTTCCTGAGGCCAGATGAAGACCCCGTCTGGCTGGATGAGCCCACAAAGACTGAAAAACTAGGCGACGGAGGCCCTAAAAAAGACAGGCTCCCAAAATGCAAAGACGGACCGGCAGGGGGCTCAAACCCACAGGGAGAGGAAGTGTTTATGCACAAGGTGTATGCACTGGTGATTGAGATCCACTGCTGGGCTGCACTGTTTGTCATCTCCCAAGTCACGGTATGCAAGTGGATGTCAGTTGAAAAGCAGAAAAATTGGAGTGGATAAAATCTTAACCTTTTTTTACATTTGTCTGCTTTAAATTAGACTGTGTTCAGACCTTACTACACAAGCTTTGGTTTTAAGCTCAGAATGTAATGTAGACCAGCATGTCAAAAAGTGTGTAACTGCAAGATTTTCTTTTTATTTGCTTCATTACATTACATGCGTGATATTCTCTAAAGCGCATAGTCAACAGTGCACTTTATTCTGGCAAAATGTGGGGCTAAAATTGGACATCTCTTTAGTATTCATTCTCTCTTCCCATCTCTGTCTGTGTTGACATCATGTTTGATTCATTCAAGAAAAAAAGGACAGGTGCAACGTAAAAAAAGAAGAAGACCCTTGTAAATGCGGCCATGATTATGACACAGGACTGCATGTGGTCAATTTACATATTTTTTATGTTTGCATAATCTTCTTCTCTGTTTGCTTTTCACTTGAGAGCAGCTACAGCCTGCCTGATTACCGGTGCATGAATGACTGGAGAGTGCACAGTGACAATCTGCCTTCTCTCCTCCCAGGGGTACTGGGTGTTTTTTGTGGTGGAAGGAAACGGACCGCTCTCTTCCATCTACAAAGCCCTGCAGGTCATCGACTTCTACCTTGGCTTTATTTTACCCTGCTACCCGATTTTTGGAATGGACGTAAGTGTCAGTCCTGGATCTGACCTACAGTAGAGTTTGTTTTGGAAGCCTTGCAGATGTGTTGAATCTAGTGTTGTCTGTTTCTCTTTTCTCTCTCTCTGCACTGGCCAGTCCATGGTGTTGATGAGGGAGGTTGTAGACACCAAACAGCACAACTGGATTGTCCATGGAACTGCAGGGATCGGTGTGGCCATCTGTGTTATCATGGTAAGACACTGGATGGACCATTCAATTCCTACTTAAAACTTTTGTTTTTTTTATATTATTGGCTCTTGATCGATATGTCTATTCATGATTAACAGGTCGTCCACATGGTGTGTAAGTGGCGTTATGGCACTGGCTTGTGGTCGTCAGGAACAGTGTCGCGAGACATTGGTGATCGGCGTCAGTCCGTGAGCCGTCAGCCCTCCTTCACCTTGTCAGAGTGGACGGACGCTCAGGAGGATCTGCTGGACATGGACCCCGTGCCCCAGACGCCAGTCTTTGAAATGGGCACTGACACCAGGACGGAGGGAGACGCCGCCACCCTCACTGTCACATCTGTGGGGCTTCAGGAGAGGTTAGAGTGGGCTGCAGAGGGCTGCAGGGTGGGAAGTTTGTTTTCAGTTATACCCCGATCCCAAGAAGGCATTTACTGTATTAATGCATGTCAAATCCAAGTTTGCAGATACTGTAGTAGATGCTTAGTATGTATATACGTCTATATGATTCAATATGTATCACACAGGAGGGGCTCCAATGTTTCCCTGACCTTGGACATGTGTACACCAGGCTGCACTGAGCCCTACGGCTACGGAGCCCAGCTCTCCCCTAGAGACCAGTCCGCCCAGGAGTACCTCCGACAGGGAACACACATCCTGACCCCTGCCATGCTACACACACGGGCCATGGATGACCAGAGCCTGCAGGCTGAGTTTTATGTGAGCACAGCAACAGCAACTCACCCACCTACACGCTTTAGATTAACAGGAATGAACAGATACTCACCGGAAAAGACGCACACACCCACACACACACACCCAGTGGAGCTCTGCACACACCCGTAAGCTTTTCCACTGTCTGTTAGTGGGCGAAGGAAGGATAGATAGAGGCATATTTGCATATGAAAACCCACAGAGGATTCCAGTGTCTGCTAGGCAGAAAGATGTACGTTCCAGATCATACACAAGTAGAATTTCAATCACGTACAATTAGACTGCAACAGTTTAGATTAAAGGGCAGACTTAATGTTGGATATTATTTTCTTACTGTTTTGTTGCCCTGTAGAAAGTAAGGCTAGGACTTCCCCTTTATTTCTGCAAGGACTGATTGTTATTGCACCCATTGTTCTGTGTCCATCGCCAGGAAACTCCCATGAACTTTGTGGACCCTAAGGAGTACAACTACCCAGGGCTGGTGAGAAAGAACCGCTACAAGACCATCTTACCCAGTGAGTACAGCTGCAACACACAGGTTGGAACAGTCACTAAAAGAGTGATAATGTAGCTGTAGATTTTGTAATAATCCTTAATAATTCCAGATACTCATCAACTATTTAGCTCAGATGTGTTTGTAAAAGGTCTGTGTCTGTGCACCAGAATATTGATACTCATACGGAGACACAGCACACAAAAAGACACAAACCAAACTTGTAATAAAACTGAGCTGTAAGATGTAATATAGTATGTATGCATAAATATTACCTCCCATATTCTTCTGCTGCTATTTCTTTGATTTACAACCCATCTGTCTCTCTTTCTCATGATAATCTCAAACTGTCCACCTCCAGACACACACAGCAGAGTGATCTTGAATTCACAGGATGAAGATGATTTCCTCACAACCTACATCAATGCTAATTATCTCAAAGTAAGTGAAAATATGTGCATTTAAACAAAATGCTGCCCTAGCACGGCTCTGTGAGGTAGCCACTGTAACTTTGTTAATTCTCCATCGATGTGATTTCCAGTGTCTCCTGCTCACAGTCAGTAGAAACAGATAGATCCCACTGTGTGTGTGTGTGTGCAGGGTTATGGCGATGAGGAGCATGCGTACATTGCCACCCAGGGTCCCACCGTGAACACAGTGGGAGACTTTTGGAGGATGGTGTGGCAGGAGAGAAGCCCAATCATAGTGATGATCACCAACCTGGAGGAGAAAAACGAGGTCAGCGTGGCGAGACGCAAGATGGTGATGATGATAATGATGATGGGTCAAAATATACCAACTTTGTGTTCATTGTGTCTTGCAGAAATGTGCAGAGTACTGGCCTGAGGACACTGTGACCCATGAGGGCATCGAGATCACCGTTGTCTCTGTAACCCAGGAGGATGACTACAGTCTGAGGGTCTTTACTTTGAAGGTAAGACACAGAAATACTGTTAATATGTCACACAAGAAGAGTGAATACAGTACAAAACTAAGAGTCTAGAGCCACACTACTGGCTCTGTGAGGTACACACATCAGCATACTTACAGTAACAATGCTAATATGCAGATGTTTAGCAGACATAATGATTACTATAACCATTAGTCTAGCGGGTAAGCTAACATTTGCTCATTAGCACTAAACACAAAGTACAGCTAAGACTTAGACTTTTGCAGGTATTTGGTCACAAATTAAAGTACTGGACATATTATAATTTTGACCTGATGATGGTGCTAATAAAAAGTTATTACAATTCATCATTAGATGGACATGAATGTGTTTACAACACTATATGTTGACATTTCACTCAGAAGTAGGGATTCACGATAAAAACATCATATTGCAATTATGTTTACAGATATTTCGATTGTGATATAATTTTTAATTAATGTGGGAATGATCATTTTTGCATTGCAATTTTATTTTCACTGAAAAAACTTTTCAAATCATGATGATGTAAAATTCTTGGGAGTCCGTACCAAACAAACATGTCATCTTAAATCTGGAGAACAAGATTTGTAGGCCAGAACATCTCTTAGTATTTCATTATAATGCTGTTTTGTTACACATTTTCATGCTTCTACGATTTGGATTTTACACTTGTTGCCATATTGTGATTTTGATAATATTTTGATTAATCAGAATCAGAATTAGAATCTGAATCAGAATCGTGTTTATTGCCAAGTAGGTTTTTACACCTACGAGGAATGTGTCCTGGTGCATTTGTGCATAAAATATACAAATATACAAATCATGCAAAAATCGCACCGAAAAATAAAGTACTTTCAAAATATAAATAAATAAAGACAAGAAAGATAAGAAAACTGTGCAGAAAGACGGGAGTGCATTAATGTAATGCATACTGTATTTACATTTACATAAGAGTCAGTAGGTATAAGAGTCAGTGTCAAAGGGGGAATCGGGCAATTATGCCGTCCTACTCTAGAGGAAAAGTCAGCAGGATTCACCCACTGGTGACCATCAATATCTGCACAAAGCTGAACGGCAATCCATCTGATAGTTGATTAGATACTGTATATCAGTCTGGACCAAAGCTGTGGACCAAAAGGCGGACATTACAATGCCAAAACACCCACAGATGTGTGTGTTCAGCAGTGGTTTACTCTCAACATTACTGATGTAGCTTTTCAGTTCCATTCATGTGTTCATGATGGGTGCCTTATATTTAATTTAGGGTCACAGTGGCATTGGTACTTAGCAAGCCAAACATGATAATTCAGTAAATGCAGCCTGATTACTAAGCACCAGGGGATCATTATATAACCGAGTTAAAAGCTTGCTGTTTATTCTCCTACTCCTCTGGTTTATGTTGTCTATCTGTTGGATTGATTGTCAGACTGATACTCTGGGAATAGATGCAGCTGATTGATTTGATTATGTTACAGCATAGGCAAGGGAGGAAAAGACTATGTAAGCTCTATTTTTTTATAACCCTCACTCTTTTTTTGTCTTGCTCTGCGTACTGCATTCATTGTTGTCGTAGCAACTAACACCAAGGTAACAATTTGGACATACATGCAGAGCAACAGGCTGATCAGAAATTATTCTCTGTGTGTCTGTCTCATGTACATGTATGCACACACATAATCACACCCGTAATTTATGCCAGAATCTATGCGTCTGTGCGTTTGTGTACCAGTGTGGGGGAGAGGAACGTAGTCTGCGGCAGTACTGGTACACCTCGTGGCCTGATCAGAAGACTCCAGATAAGGCTCCACCTCTTCTGGAACTGGTGCAGGAAGTGGAAAGGGCCCGAGAGGATGCCCCGCCCTCCAGTGGCCCTATAATTGTCCACTGCAGGTACAAAAGAAGCTTATTTGTGATATAGGGATGAACGTGAACTCCTTATGTTGATAATATACACCCAGAGGGGAAATTGCCCACTTTCATATCAGAGGAACCCTTTTCCTTCTGTTTTGTACTATAAAAAACTCTTGGCAGAGCAGAGCATGTGTCTTCTTCCAATTCTCCACTATCTGATTTCCCCAGGGAGGATTTGGCATTAATCAAATTAGCGGGATTAGTGCAAATCAATACACTGATGCATCCCTTTTCTCTTTCTCCACTCTCCTCCGTCCCCTTACCCCTCCAACTTTTCGTCCGCAGTGCTGGAATTGGTCGAACCGGCTGCTTCATCGCCACCTCCATCCTGTGCAAGCAGCTGAGGACTGAGGGTGTGGTTGACATCCTGAGAACCACCTGCCAGCTCCGTCTGGACAGGTGAACTATTCTTAGCCCTTATCCATGTCTAACTTTAGTTCTTGGCATCAAATATTTGTTTTGTTAGTTGACCAAGTTTCAGTTGATGTGGTTCCAAATCGTGAGCTACAGTAATTCACTGTGGGCTTAATTTGAAGTTTGTAAGACTTCCAAACAGTGTGTTACGCCACTTCAGTCAATCACAACTTACTTTTTATAGAATGAAACTATGGTATTTTCCACACTTCCACAAACCATAAAATGGCCAATTTAAAGGTTTTTCTAGCCAAGTAAAGGTGTCATGAGGTCGCCTAGAAGGAAATTAATTAATTAGAGGACTAATAAGACAAACATGGCCACAAAATGTTTTTAACTCCAATACTAATACTAAAACTTTAATAGATCTCTCTTTCACAATAGATATTTTAACTTAAATGTCCAGTGTGTAACATTTAGGAGGATCTATTTTCAGAAATTGAATATATTATCCATAGGTATGTTTTCATCAGTGTATGATCACCTGAAAGTTATATTCATCCTAACAACTTTCATCACCTAACAATGAGCCGTTTTTATCTTTTTCTTTTCTACGGAATCCGTCATGTTGAACCACCATGTTACTACAGTAGCCTAGAAGGGACAAACCAAACACTGGCTGTAGACAGGGCCGTTGTTGAGCTGTATTCAGTTGGTTTCAATCTGCAACTTCACCCATATGCCACTAAATATTACACTCTAGTTCTTTCAATTCACTCTTTGTTCTAAGAGAAAGTACATTGTCCAAAATCATCTTTTTCAAAAGAAGATAAGCAGAGAAACGTTTAAACTGTTGTAAATTTGTAACATGTGACCCACTGGTTCTCAAACTATTAGACATTTACCATTTATAGAATCTCTGAAATATATATATAAAAAAATAAATAAATGAATTTCAAAACATATACTACTATCAAAATACTACAGAATTTTGGGGTGCCTGGTGGCTCACCTGGTAGAGCACATGTACAAAGTGAGTCCTTGCTGCAGCAGCTATGAGTTTGACTCTGTGGCCCTCTGCTGTGTGTCATCCCCTCTCTCTCTCTCCGCCCTCTCTATCTATCTCAACCTGTCCTGTCAAATAAAGGCAATAAGCCCCCAACCAAAAATATACTAGTATCCTGGTGTATGCCTGTATATATTTTGGTTGTGTGGTTTACTTTGATTTGCTCTGCGCTGGCTGTTGCAATGTTAGGCCATGATGAAATAACTGTCAGCTGAATAAATTATCACCAAAGCAGACAACACAGATGTATAAATAAACTCTACAGTTGCTGCAGCCACAAACACACATGCTAAAGTGAAGAGAGCGCCTCAGTTTTTACACTCTGTGTTGCACGCACACACAACAATATGTTGCTAGGCAATGCAGTGGTTATTTGTACTCACCTGTCTGAACATTGACAGGTGACTGTAACCAGACTGTAACCAGTCCACTCAGCCCCTCTGTCCCACTGTAACCAGTCCACTCAGCCCCTGTGTCCCACTGTAACCAGTCCACTCAGCCNNACAGTAGCCCAGAAAGGACAAACTAAACACTGGCTCGAGATTGGGCCTTTCATGTTTTTTGCAAGTTTTGTGCCCACCATAGTTTCTCTTACCCAAATGTCTGACATCTGCAATTTCACTATTAGATGTCCTAAACACTGGTCCTTTAATATTTTACTAGCAGAAAAAGTACATATGTATATAAGATGAACAATTACTTTGCCCTGAACTAGGTATAACTAAGTAGAAGTAAAAAAGCAGCTACAGTAACAACTGCATCTTTATAGGAAGAAGAAATTAGCTGCTGTAATATAATAATGCAGAACTTGCTGTACCAAATCAAAAGTAGCCAATGTACTCAGTTTCATGTTACAAAAATAGAAATTGCCTATATTATTTGATTCTCTGTTTTGAATAAAGACATTTTGGACTAAATGCTAATATCAGCTTGCTAACATGCTCACAATAAAAATGCAAACATGCTCAGGTTAAGCAGGCATAATGTTTACCGTGTTCACCATATTAGCTGAGCCTGATGAGAATGTCATTCATTTTACAAACCAAAATTTTGGAGGGGTTAAAATTTTGTCCTGATGATGGTTTCTAGGTATTACATCCAACAGACATTTTACCCAAAACCACACATTAACTTCATGGTGGCACTAGAGGAAGAGTCACCAAAGTCATTAGGATACATTGTCTGGGAACCATGGTTGCACTAACCTGGATATACCTGAATATTTCACTGGATAAGTGAAAGCTTTGACCATGATTGGACCAAATATCTGTACAAGGTCTCATGGCAATCCATTCGGTAGTTATAAGTGATGGACTGGACGACCCGCCAACCAACAATAGAGCCACACTGCTAGCATGGCTAAAAAAAATGGCTAACAATTCTTTTCCAATCTGTATAATTGTGCTTCTTGTATTTGTTTCTCAGGGGTGGGATGATCCAGACGTGCGAGCAGTACCAGTTTGTGCATCACGTCCTCAGCCTGTATGAGAAGCAGCTGTCTCACACAGCTGAGGAGTAGAGTGAGCACTACAGCCACACCCAGACCGACCGAGACACACCACTGTACACTGTACCGCCTCTGGTGGTATGCACCACTGTACCTAGCATCATCTCAATCTCACCCTTTAACAAGTTCAAACCATGCTCTCTTTTCTTCACCCAAGATAGGCTCATTCAGACAGGACTGAACAGTTGACATGAAATCTGTGCTTACTGTATGTCTTTGAGCGGAACAACATAGGGAGATGGGATTTGAAATAGCCCCCTCAAAAATCCAGATCAGGCACTAAAGTGTCATCGATCCACACAGTCCTGGAGAGTCGTAACAGTCAGGCCCGAAATAATCCAACCCCGCACTCCCGACATCGCTTCATTTGCACTGCTGGGGTTTTTTATCACGTTACTGTACATGAGTCTCAGTCATCAAAGCCTCATTTAGTACTTGGTCTGAAATTCCCCCCCACACACACACTATAATCAGATCACCTGCAGCAGTGTCAGTTTGCTGTAAAGAGGAAATTCAAGTTCAATGTCCCAAAGTTAGTGTCAATAATAAGGAGCCTTTACAGTATAAATGCCAGCATAATTTAAATCTACAGAACTTATCACATGCCAGCCTAATATGATATACTATATAGATGTAAAGGTTCACATAAAATATAAGTTAACTAACCTTTATTTTTCATTGACTCTCATTGACTCTCACTTTTAATGTAAAAAATCATTACAGAAGGCCTGTTTCAACTTTTGATGCATTCAGGAGCCGCCTCATCTTCAGGTTGCATGGTGCTAAGTGTTCATTAAAGGCATGTGCAATGTTATGGAACATAGGAATGTATATCAATTAGGTTATTAATTAACTAATTAGGATTTCTGTGCAATCTACAGTATTACAGTTTTACCATGCTGCCTGTGCAGTCCTCATGGTCCATGATGTTTACAGTAAACAACTCCTGCATTAAGGCCACATAGATGTACACTCAGAGGTGTCACAGAGCTGGTGACACTGAGGGGGCCAGAAATAAGAAAAATCCCTGCAAAGCCCAATCAAAGCTCTGGAGAAATCTGACATATATACATACAGGGATACGTAATGCAGAGGAAAGCAAAACATTACGGTCACATACAGCTACTTGTAAATGTCCCATTACTATCATGACGCTTGTTGCCCTCAGAGTTACATTCTCTGTGATGCCTCTGCTTTCAACAGTAGCTTGAACACATCCGTGAAGTAAGAAGCCCATGATTGTTGTATAGACAGGCCAGGCCTAATCTGTATGAAGCACAATAGACCAACTAAGGTTGTCTCTGATGTTGAGCTGTAAAAGTTCTTTTTTTTCTCCGTATTGTGTTTTGATTGTGTTGAGTTTAATGGATTGCATGTGCTGTATGGGACTCCATAGGTCCACAATCAAAGCGATGTGATTGGTTGTCCTGCTTTTTGTTGTGTAAAAGGGTTTAAGCCTATTATATTGCTTGCTCTCGGCCAATGCTTTTGATACAGTTTGCTTTTGTGAAACCAACCAGAGATATTTTTAGAACATTTTGATACAATCCTTTCGAGTAGATGCCTTGTGTATATTTCCGTTTACACCATGATGGAATGTAGCTCATACTGTGGATCAAACCATCGGTTTATATTGCAAGATTTGACAGAACAAAATGTGACAACTACCTAAGTTACCTTACAGTACAGAAAATAAATAGATTATGTTCAGTCTTCAGTATTATTACTTTATGCCTTTAGGCTTTGCTTTAATATGCTTTGCTTTGTGTGTATGTTTTTCATCGTTTTCTTGGAGAATTTTACCTCAGACTGAGTTTCTACACAGTCCCCACTCGATTCCATCTGTGACTCTAGGCCACTCTCAGTTGACAACACGAGAAATAATTGCTATGTGTAAGGCAGCTAAAACAGTGAAGACAGTTTTCTATGTAACAAAAGTCACACTCAAACAACTTCTATCTTGACTTAATGCATCAGATTAACAGTCATGAACATTATCAGAGGATGGAATTACCTGCGTGGGTTCGGACCAATTTATAAACATCAAATCAAGCAAATTAAACTGCCAAAATGACCTTTTATAGGAAAATAGGACTGGGATTGATAAGAAAAGCAACAATCTATTGTCAGACTTTTGACATAATCCTCTGATAATGTCCTTGACTGAAAAGCTTTTATTTTAAGTGCTTGTTTTCAATGCTTATATACCTGGTCCTCTTCTGAAGATCAAAACGGGGATAACGAAATAGTCAGTCAGACATACAACCAACCAGCAATCAGTATTCCTCTCCTCTCCTACAGTATTGCTTTAAGTTGTGAGTTTTTGCATCCAAATAAAGGTAGATTTTCATGAATCTGTCTTGCTGTCTCTCTGACTCTCTCTATATCTCTTAATCACACACAAGCCTCCCTTTAAACCAGAGCATCAGTAAAGCTATCACTGTGTAAAGTGTGATCTAAATGTAAAATGTAAATATTGTAATGAAAACTGTAGATTAAGATTTAAAGCTCCAGTTATATCAGAGCTGCATTGGCTTAATGTTGTGACAGTGCAGTTAGAGATTTGTACCACTAGGTGTCAGTATTTACAATGTAATTGCTGCCAGTAGCTCCATCACCCTGCATCCATCTGCTTACTCACCAGCACATTTAGATTGCAGAGCAACAGAACAAAGGCTTTCAAACAAACAAAGAGAATTCATGATAGTGGATTCAAACACCCAACAACCACTTATTATAACTGTTTTATTCAGTGGTTAGAAGGGATGTGATACTGTGGATAAATACATTTCTGTAAACAGTATATAAGATCAAAATATGATTGTAAAGCCCCTTTACAGCAGAGCTTTGGTGACATCATGTATTTCCCAGCATAGCTTCAACCTGATTACAGGTCTAATCAGCCTGGCTAATTGAAAACACCTGTATGGGTGTGAAGGGCCTTTAAAGCCTTATCAGAAATGTTTATCAGTGTCAGCATTTGTGGGATGAGACAACAATGATTCTTGAATAGCTACTTAATCAGAATATTGGTATTATTGTGCTTATTCATTATTTAGCTTTTTTGCTATATGCCAAAAAACTCTGAACACTGTGGTGCAAATATTTTGCAGTTAATGTACAATTTGGAAAGTTTGTATTAATGTGATTTCCATGATCTTTTGTAGCTTAGTTGGTTTCAGCTGAATTGTGGTTGGTGGTAGAGTATGTGATTAAAACATCGTCTTCAAGAACATATTCACAATTAAATGAATGGTATCTAAAGAGAATTGTAAAATACTGTACATCTCTGCATACAGACCTGGGCTAACATCAGGACAACTCTTATAGGCGCAATTCAATCAAAAATGTCCCGTGCATTTGATGAAGACCACATGGTGTAAATAAAATCAAAATTAGTCCCTGCACCTAACAGGTTAAATAATAATTCTACAAATGTTTTGTTACACAAACACCATGTACAGTATATATGTGAGTATATATAATACAAAATGTTTCTTTACTGTATGCTACTTTCTTTTCCTACAGGTATGGAAGCAGCATTGTGCCTTGTTCTGGGTCAGAAAAGGTTTTACTCTACACTTCATTTTTAGAAAAAGACCAGAATGTTGTGAATTTACAATAAAAAAAAGAATCTTAATGGTTTTTTTTAATCTAATTTAATCACTAAGTGACTGCTCTGCAAGGATTTTGTTACAATATCTGTGAGAGATTTAGGTTTAACACATAGAAGCACAATTCAGTCATTGTATAATGTTTTTTATGACAATCTATATACAGACGGGTGACAAATTAAAGGGAAAATCTGAGTGAATGACTGGAGAAAGATGACAAATGCAGATGCTTTCATAGAGGAAAAGAAGAGTCACTGAAATGTTTGATGAAAATAATGTGAATCAATTGAACACCTATGGCGAGACTTGGAGGTTTGTTTTGGGGGTTCCTTTAAATTGTCAATCATCTGTACATGGAAATGAATAAATAACCCAAAGCAACAGTCTAGATTATGAAAGAATGCAATCATTAGCCCAATATAACATTGATTTTTTAAATTTATTTTTTGTTAATGTCAGGGTTTTTTTCTCTCTTGCATATTTCCGCTCACCCAAACATGGGCCAGTAGTATTCGCACAGTGTCACTTGACCTCTGCTGCTGGACTTCAGGGAGCAGGGATCATTATGAAATTAACATAAGCCACCAAAGAGATGCAGAGTTTGCAGTTTTCAGTCAATACTGGCCCACAGACGGGTGAGACAGCTGCATTAAAATTATGCGTAAACCCTTATGACTTAATCACTCATTAAAAAAACTTCAACAATCACTGTGATGTATTACTACTAAATGTACCGTGGGTTAATTGCTATGGCACGCTTCATGAGCGCGTCTCCTTTAAAACAAAAAAACAAAAAAACAAAAAAACGGACTGTCCCTTTAATCCGCGGATCAAGCACTGACGTCACCTATCCCTTGAGCCGCCTGCGCTGATTGGCTGAAAGTGACGTCAACCTCATATTTTTTTGCACCCTCCCTCCTGAACCATGACCTCATCGCTTTAGTTCAAGAAAGTGCTAAAGTGCACCTTCTCTAACTAACCACCCCCCCCCTCCCCTCTCTCTCTCTCTTACTACCCCTTTTCCGTCGATCCTAACACACAACCACATACACAACACATCAACACACACCCGAGCCGGACCCGACAGTATCCAATTCCCACCCGGCCTGAAAAGGAGCGGTTTAATAGTGTCAACCTCTCCCTTTCAAAAATGTCTTCGTTTGTTCCCTGCGCTGTCACCCTCTTGTCAGCTGTACGTCCCCTCCCCTCCTCCTCCTCCTCCAACCCCCCTCCCTCCACAGCACACAGGTAAAAAACCGGCCAGCTGCCAGAAGACTACGGCCGCGCTGCCCCTTCACACATGGAGGCCTAGCTGAATAAAACGCGGGAGCCCGAGGTGAGTGTGTTTGTATCCGATTAGTAGCGCCAAAAAAAAATAAAATAAACCCGAAGTTACTTTGTGTTCCAAGTGCGTTGCTACCCCTACCACAGCCCTATACGCGTTAGCAGCGGCTGCCTCCGCCTACTGCCTCGCCCTCTCTCTCTGCTGCGCTTGCGGGCCGAACTCTGTCCAGCCACTCCCCCTCTCACCACCTGGCTCTGTTTCTCTTTCCACCACCACACCACACAACCCACAACCCACGCCCCCTTTTTATGTGAGCGCCCGTCTTCATAATGGGAATTTAAACCCACGTCCAACTGAAGTGATCGATTCCTTTTACCCTGTTTGAAAGCATCTGTTCAATTCCACCCCGTCCCGACCCCAAATTTTAAAGGTAGTTAAAAAAAATGTTTTTTTTTCCTCCTTCCTTCCTCCTTCCCTCCTCTCTCTTCTCTCCTTCTGTGTTTTCGGTCTGTGTTTTCGGTTTTAATTTGCGCGCTGGCTGCGCCTTTATAGATCATCACCTGACGTCAATGGAGTGGTTCATTTTTTTCGCGAAATGCGGCAACATATCCACGCCCCATAAACAAACACAGAGGCAGGTCCCCCCCCCCCCTCCTCTCACCACTCCCCAACTATTTTTTTGTCTTATAATAACATGACTTGGATGCTTAATTATGTAACGTTTGCAAAAAAAAGGCAATGCCCCGCTGCCGCCAATTGTGTGCTAATTCTTATATCTAATTTCCCTAAGGTCGGTTTATTATAGTGCGCACCCAAACCGCTAATCAAACAGGCCACAAAATGTCTCATCTATTTTTCCCTTGTGTCTCATTTTATTGGATACAATACGGAAAAAAACCGAAGTAATCCCGCACCGTTGTTTGATTTATATGCCTATTGTTAGGCCATAATCGGTAAATGTCCTTTTTGCAATCAGTATTCATTTCGTAAATTATTGTTGTGGAAAGAGTCCCGGGGGTTAGTCCCAGTTTTGTTATACTGAGCGCCCCCGGCAAATTTGCCGCCAGCCCACGCCAGAGTATTGATTAAAGGGCACCAGAAGGGCCTTTATATTGGGTTATGTTGTTACAGTATTCGATGGGGCTTCTGCCTCCACAGGCCAAAACCAGAGATTGAAATTTTTTTCCAAATTTACATGATCACTGTAACAGGAGCATTCATGTTTTTGTTGTCCCCCCCCCCATTCCACCTGTATTACCACACCCCCTGCTTGGTCCACCCCCTACTAACCTATTTTGTTGATGTACACATTTATTAATTTATATCCAGCTGCCCTCAAGAAATAAATATTGCTTAAGTAAAAAACACATAGCATCCATGAAAATTAAAATGTTTCAGAAATGGGATTTTAAAAAAGGGGAAGAAGTTGTTTTTCGAAATAAATTGGGCAGTGAACAGGAAAACCATGGGAAGGTTAAAAACACTTTCAGAATTCAAAAAAAAACACTTGAAATTAAGTGATTTTTTTATTGTTTTTATTTAAATTAGCCAAACATTTCTACGAGGGAAAATTTTCTGCTTTTTTTCTTTGGTCTTTAAAGTGAAAAAAATTAGTAAAACTACAAAATTTAGGTTTTCATGTACCATTTCCATTTACAAGGCAAGGCTTGTGTAAAGGGAAAATTTTTTAATAAAAAACAAGATTTTTTTTTAAAAAACATTTTTTTTTGTTCCATTTTGTTTATAAAGAGCCCAAGCCATTTTAATTATGTTTTAAGTAAAAAATAAATAGAAAAATAAAAAGCATTGAAAAATAATGATAATTTTTAAAAATGATTTGGGGCAAGCTTCTTAATACCACTCCCAAAAAAGTTGAAAATTTTTGGCCTTCCAATTCCAAAAAAGGAAAATCTAAAAGTTTTAAATTTGGCTAAGAAAATAATGCAAAACTTAAAATTGTGGAACAAAAAGAGGAGAAAATAAGGTAAAAAAAATACTCCTAATCAAGATTAGCCCTCTCTTAAAGTGGACCAATAACTTAACCCCACCCCATTTGTTTTTTGGAAGAAAACCCTATCAGCAATATACGAAACACAAATTCTTTCTAGTTTTCTTTGTTGTCCTTGCGGTGGGTTTGATGGTGCGGTTCCTGGAAAAAAAACCTGGCAAACACCCCTTTGTTGTTGGGGGTCCCAAAGCTTTTAAAGTGTTAATTGACGCAATGACGCTTTCAGAAAAGGGGGAGACCAGTGTTGTAAAAAACAAAGATAAAACCACATGCGCAAAACCTTTTAGTGGGCAATGAAAAAAAGAAAAAAGCTTGTGGGGCAACAGAAGTTTTTTTCAAAGGCGCATGAAAAAATGCTCTTGAAAATTGAATGGTATTTGTTTTGTGGTCCTAAACCAAAACAAGCCTTCAAA